TATTCCATAGTATTCTATTGTGTAAATAGATTATATTTATCCACCTAACTATCAATGGACATTTGTTTTGTTTTTTCCCAGATTTTTTCTGTTCCAGTGTACTACAATGAATGTTCTTGTATGTATCTCATAATATTCATATATAAGAATTGATGGCATAGTGCCTAAGGCATTTGACTGCTAACCAGAAGGCTGGTGGTTTAAACCCACCAGCCACTCCCTCAGAAGGAAGGTTGGACAATCTACTTCTGTAGTGATACTGCCTAGGAAACCCAAGGAGGGGTCTCTATGAGTTGGGTCCGTCTCGACAGCAGTGAGTTTGGTTTCTTGGTTTACCTGGATCATAGGGTATGAACTTTTTAAATATTGTTAAAAATTGCCAAATTATTTCCCAAAATATTCAGCCCAGTCTTTCCAAGTACTCCAGTAGCTCCAAGTTGTCCCCAATGTTTAATATTGTCAGACTTTGTAAATTGTTAAAAATCAATATGTGTCAATTTTACCTTATGGTGTTTTAATTCACATTTCCCATTAGTAATAATGTTGAGCATCATTTTATGTGTCTATCCACCTTTGTGTTTCCCCTTCTGTGAAGCGCTTTTACTCTTTTTTGCCCTATTTTCTATTTGGTGGTTTGTGATAAGAATAACTTGTTGATTCCAGAAACAATTATTTTGTCAAGTAAACTAAAACCAAACGCACTGCTGTCAAGTCAGATCTGACTCATGGCGACCTCTCCTTGGGTTTCCGAGGCGATATCACTAGGGAAGTAGATTGCCCAACCTTCCTTCCAAGGAGTGGCTGGTGAGTATATGTGGGAAATTCTAATCCAGCTTGCAGCTCATCTTTTCATTATCTTTATATGACTTTTGATAAACAGAAGTTATTAATTTTATTGTAGTAAAATTTGTAAATCTTAAACTTTAAGCTAGTTAGTGTTATGTCTGGTTTGAGATTATCTGTTCCTATTCTAAGGAGCTTAGGTGATGTACTGGTTAAGGCATTTTTCTGCTAACCAAAAGATCAGAGGTTTAAACCCACCAGCCACTCTGCAAAAGAAAGATAAGGCAGCCTGCTTCCAAAAAGATTTACAGCCTTGGGAATCCAGTGGAGGTTGCTATGAATTGGAATTGACTGAACAGCAGTGAGCGTAGTTTTGCTTGTGATTCCTACTCTGAACTCATAGGATATTTTCCTATATTGCTTC